ATATATATATATATATTTTTATTTATATAAAAACCATGGGTGGTGTTCGTCACATACAGCTGCCAACAGAGCAGAGCGGAAGGAAGTCAGTCCTACAAGGGTTGTCCTGGCAATGGCTGTGCCCTCCCCCAAGCTGTTTCCTGTAAGGGCGGAGTTTGAGGCAGATCTTTCCAAAGTGTGCCTTGCCAGCACGGAGTGAACCTGAGTGGGGCAGCTGAAAGGCTTAGAAAAGACAGACAAGAGAATGAAAGCCGGTCTCCGTGGGACACAGCTTCTCTGAGAGACAACGACCACGCCCACAGTCACGCCTTTATTTTATAGCAGATGCTACAAGGCAAAGTAAGGGGGTGACCAAGATGTTTACAACATTCTCCTGGGTTTCAATCCTACTCAACTACATGCACCTGAACTCTATCAAGCCTACATCACTCAGGCACGTGGGGCCACGTGTTCGGACCATAGGTTCAAGCTTACAACTACAGCTGTTGGCTATAATTGTGCTGGGAGGGCCCTGCCCTCCAAGCTGGGACTTGCACGTGGCAATGAGAGGACTGTGCCCTCTCATCAGTCCAAGGCTTGAACCTGTCCAAAACACTGTAGCGGCTCCCCACAATAAAGTTTTAATTCTGTTTCTTTGTTACTAATGTTGTGGCCCCACCCCATAACAAAGAAACAAAGGAAAATTTCCCCATCGAATTTCTGAATAGTATTACTCCTTCGGGAATGCCGTGTCATAAATTAAAATTGAAAGTGGGTGCAATCATCATGCTATTGAGAAATCTCAATAGTAAATGGGGTCTTTGTAATGGTACCAGATTTATTATCAAAAGATTACAACCTAACATTATCGAAGCTGAAGTATTAACAGGATCTGCAGAGGGAGAGGCTATTCTGATTCCAAGAATTAATTTGTCCCCATCTGACACTGGCCTCCCATTTAAATTGATTCGACGACGGTTTCCCGTGATGCCAGCATTTGTGATGACTATTAATAAATCACAAGGACAAACTCTAGACAGAGTAGGCATGTTCCTATCTGAACCCGTTTTTGCACATGGTCAGTTATATGTTGCTTTCTCTCGAATTTGAAGAGCATGTGATGTTACAGTTAAAGTTCTAAGTACTTCATCACAAGGGAAATTAGTCAAGCACTCTGAAAGTGTTTTCACTCTTAATGTGGTGTACAGGGAGATATTAGAATAAGTTTAATCACTTTATCAGTCATTGTTTGCATCACTGTTGTTTTTATATCATCTTTTTGTTGTTTTCATATCATGTTTTTGTCATTTTTATATCATGCCTCTGTTGTTATATCCTTTTGTTACTGTTCATTTATTAATAAATTTATATATTATTTTCATATACATTTTACTAATTTCCTTTCATCTTTCACATTTCTATTGTAGAGAAAGGGCAAATAGCAAAGTTAAAATATCTCTGCTAATTAATTCCCTTTTTAAAAAAATATATTTTATTGATTTTTTACAAGAGGAAGGGAGAGGGATAGAGAGTTAGAAACATCGGTGAGAGAGAAACATCGATCAGCTGCCTCCTGCACACTCCCCACTGGGGATGTGCCCGCAACCAAGGTACATGCCCTTGACTGGAATCGAACCCAGGACCCTTGAGTCCGCAGGCCGACGCTCTATCCACTGAGCCAAACCGGTTAGGGCAATTAATTCCCTTTTAATGTGCACGAATTTCATGCACCGGGCTACTAGTTTATCTATATATATAAAAGCCTAAGTGACTGGCCAACCAGCCAGTAGCTATGAAGCGCACTTACCACCAGGGGGCAGACACTCAACGCAAGAGTGGAAATGACAGTCATGGAAACATGGAACAGACTGATGAATCTCAGAAGGAAAGGAGAAGAGGGGAAGGTGGGAAGAGATTAACCAAAGATCGTATATGCATACTAGAGGCCTGGTGCAGATTCAGGCACTGGTGGGGTCCCTCAGCCTGGCCTGCAGGGATTGTGCCGAAACCGGCATGGTGCACAGATTCATGCACCGGTAAGGTCCTTCGGCCTTGCCTGCAAGGATCAGGCTGAAACCAACTCTCCAACATCCCCCAATAGGTCCCGATTGCGAGGGCATAGGCCAGGCCGAGGGACCCCACCCGTGCAAGAATCCATGCACCGGGCCTCTAGTAAATAATAAAACTTCACTAATGAATCCTGAAGAACTTAAGTGCTCAAGGCTTCCGATACCCCAGAAGATGAGGGTGAGGTTCAGAACAAAATAGAAGGAATTTGCTAGTTAGCTACATCTGCATATATGAGAAAGTAGACACCTCAGCCCTTGTCTTCATCCTGCAGTCAGGCGGGAATTAGAAATTTAGTTTCTGAAGAAACCAAAAAGAAGAGGCTACCAGGGAGACCAGGCGAAATAGAGGTAATTAAGTGTCAACCTGCACAGCAAACTGTGGAACTCCTCAGACCTCTTCCTAACCCTGCACTTATACCACTGTCAGCAAGGTGTGTAATCCCCCTACACCCCCAATATCAACCTATCCTAATAACTAGAATATTATTCTTTAGAGAAATTGAAGATCCCTAGGAAAAAAACAAAGATCCTGTCATGTAAGGATCCATCCCAAAAAGGGAAAGGCTACTTGCAGTTATACAGCCTGATAGAAAAGTCTCTTACAGCCCTAGCTGGTTTGGCTCAGTGGATAGAGCATCAGCCTGTGGACTGAAGGGTCCCAGATTCAATTCCAGTCAGGGGCACATGCCCGTTGCAAATGTGATCCCCAGTGGGTGGTGTGCAGGAGAATCAATGATTCTCTCTCATCATTGATGTTTCTATCTCTCTCTCCCTCTCCCTTCCTCTCTGAAATCAATAAAAATATGTTGTTTTTTTTAAAAGACTCTTACAAACTCTGACCATACACAAACTAAACCAATCAGTTGTTCACAGCCTAATTCGAAAATATACAAGGACAACCAAAGACTATGATATGGTCATAAAAATATGTGAAAGAGAGATGGAAGTCAGATAAAAAAAAGGTCCAGAGGAACAGATTAAGAT